TGTCCATCTCGGTGTCCTGCTTCACCATGCAAACTCGGTAATTATACGAACTGCGGCCCGTCGTGACCTCGCTGTCCGACTTGATTAGGATTGTGTCTATGTCGGTGCCCTGGTATGTGCTCTGCCACAGCTCGCCCGCAATCCGGTTCACTTCCTCCATCTTGAGTGCGTGGTATCGCATAATGGCATTACTGAGCGCTGTGCCATACTTGCCCAGATCCTCAATCACCGCCTTGGTCGTCTCCACTTTGATATGTGTCTCGCGATACTTATCATTTGCCATTTTGTACTCCGTTTCCCACTCGTCTAGTAGACGCCCTAACTCGCCATCCTTGCTCATCATCGTTCCTTTTATAGAACTTATGTTTGCGTTAAGCATATGGCTCCGTGATTCCCAGTGTTTAGCCTCGGCGTCGAGTCGTTCGTAATCCTCGTTAGCATTACGAGACTCAAGCTCTTCGATGTCTCGTTTGAATTTTTCGATGTCTCGAAGGGTTTTACGGTAGTTCAGATTATCCATGATATTCTTCTTTCTCAACTCACTATTGCTAACCTCTTCCTTGATTTTGTTGGTTCGCGCTGTCAAGTCGTTCATGTCCTTCTCGATACGCTTAATGACTTTATCGAGCGACTGAATTTGCCGCTCGTTAGCAGCGAGGAGCGCTGGACCGCCGCGATCCAGATAATCTTGTATATCGTTGTTAACCAACTTGAGCTTATTCATCGATGTCGCAAGTCCGTCACGCTCGTCAGCAGTTTTTTTCTCCTTTGCACGTCCCCTTTGCTGCGTATCATCTCGGATAGCCTTGGCCTTGGAAATCTCGGGCTCGATTAGCCCTATTTCTTTATCTGCTTCTTGAATAACCTCTTTTTGCTTGTTCATATCATCTTTCTGAGCTTGAATCTGGTCTTGGAAGTACTTCTTCCTCTCAAGCTGCCGACTAGCATCGCTGATCCTATTGCTTAGTCGACTCCGTTCAAGTTCAAGAGAGCTTATTAGGTCTCGCATACGCTGCCTGTCACCTGATAGCTGCGAACAGTTGTGCTTTACCCCTTTCATCTGCTCAGCGCATTTGTCTTGTAGTTCATGGATCTCGTGGGTGCTTCGAACCGCACCGCTGGACTGCTGTTGAGACATAATACTTTCCACCTGAGCTTCAGCCTCTTCAATCTCTCTCTGTGTCTGAGAGATATTGTGAACAGTTTTGCTCATTGACTCGAGGTCTTGCTTTTCCTCTAGTCTTCCTCGGACAATCTCGTCCATCTCCTCAACGCTTTGCACTAAGACCTCTTCTCTTTCTTTGGCTACTTGTATCTCTCTGTCAGTATCGCCCTTTTCTGACATTAGTCTAACGTATGTTTCACTCTGAGGACGAACAGCCCGAAGATTTCCTAATAATTCTTCGCATTCGGCTAGCTCGGTTTGCATCTCCTCTTTCTTAGCTTCCCCGAGTGCTTCTTTAATTTTCTTAACCAAGCGCGACTTCTCACTCACGTCGACAAAGGTACGATCGCAGAGTTTACACCTATTGTGTTTATTTAATACTTTCTGGCATTCCAGGTAGTAGTCCTTGAAGTGTTCAAAGAGGGCTAGATCCTTCTCCAAGGTAAGGATCTCCTCCTCGAGGCGCTCAATCTCTTGAGGTAGCTTATCAACACTCGGTTCGGACGTAGAATCTGCCGCCTTAAGCGCATTAAGTACCGCTAACTTGCATCGCTCCATTTCTTCATTGTGCTTCCTGGCCGTCGCCTGTGAACTAGAAAGTGTATACTGCACTTGCTTAAGTTGCTGGATAGTGTCATCGCGCCTTCGGACTGACTCGTCATAGGCCTGTGTCTTTAGCTGTAAAGCATTCTGAAATTCGCGGCTGATGGTTGAAGGCTCCCACGGGCCGCTGACTATGCCAGCTATTTTATCGTTCCAGGTGCTAGTAAGAGTTTCCAGTTTCCGCTTCTTGTCAGCCAACTCCATCTTGCGAACATCCAATTGCGCTCTGTCAGAAAGGAGCTTGGTAGATTCCATGAGTTCGAGCTTAAGTTTGCTATTCTCAGCCTCGAGTTGTTGTAGTTTGCTCTCTTCCTGCTTCAATCTCGTATCGAAGTCGCTCTTCAGCAATTCCTGGGTAGCCTGTCCGAGCCGTTGCTCTACATCCTTGAAAGATGCGTCAAGTAACGCCTTGCTGCCTTCGTCAACCTCCACCAAGCTAAGGTCTTTCTGCAGGGCTACAATTCGTTTCTCTATCTTGCTAATTGCTTGCCTCGCAAAAACTCGGTTTTGTGTATGGCGAGCCTTCTGATTGTCCAAGTCGCCAATGGCGGCTCTCTTTTTTTCAAGCTCGTCGGCGTTTTCTGACTGTAGACTCTCAAATTCTCGCTTTTTGTCTGCTAGAAGAGTTTGAATTCGCTCCTGAAATGCCTGAACTTTGTGGTCATCTAGATCTCCATCGAACCCACGAATACTATGTAATTGGGCTGCCTGGCGGATGTGCTCGACCCGCAAAGCAAGCTGGCGTTCGTACTTGGCTTTGTCGGATTGGTGCATACCCTGTTCTGCTAACTTCTCCTTTATCTCATCACCAGTCCTCGAGTGATCCTTTTGGTACTGCCGGAATTGCTCAATGTTCTCTTTATGTTCCTGTTCAAGTCTGGTAACCCGATCTTCGTACTGTGCTAAGGTATCCTGCAACCAGTCGTCGGGCTCGTCCATCTCAGTCATTCTGGATTTCGTCTCCTCTAATTTCTGTTGAAGGTAGCCAAGTTCTCGCTGGTTGCTCTTCAAGTCGTTCACGATGTTGAGAAAGCTGTTCGCCTCCCGGTGCATCTCGACAGCGTTCTGATCAGCCTCATTCTTCTCCTTCTCCATCTGTTCACATTCCTTCCGTAACCGCTCTATTTCTTGGAATAGTTCCTGAGATCGTTTTTCACACTTATCGGCCTTCTCCTTGTTGGCCTTGTCTTGGACTTCCATGATCTTATATTTTTGTAGGTCTTCCCCCTGCTTCTTTTTTAGCAATTTGAGGTTATCAATTGCTTTGGTATATTTCATAGCCTCGAAAATCTCATCGAACCGTTTTTTGAGAGCTGAGGGTTCACTCATAGGCCATAAGGATTCGTCTTGATGGCAGAATATTACAGCGTCGAGGATAGCTGGGGCGACACCTAGACTGGTAGGGACGGCGGTGTCGAGGTTAATTACTCTAGAAGAGGTTGAGTTCTTCTCACCCCCATGGTCGGTAAGGAGGGTACCCTCGAGGGTCTTCTGGGACCTCGTGGTCTTCTTCACGGTGAGCTGTAGACTACGGGTGACCACATAAGTAGTATCAGGAGGAACCTTGAACTTGAGCTTGACCTGCGCCAAAACCTCTCGTTCTCCGCATAGCTTAGGATCGTGGATGAAAGCTCCTCCCTTGCTGTTGGGAGGTAACTCGCCGGTGGTAGCATATTTAAGACACTCGATTATGGTAGTTTTACCTGAGCCATTATATCCCACGATGAGAGTGAGGGGAGTATTGAACTGGATAGTCTCTCGAGTGAGATGACTGAAGGATCGAACGCCCGAGATGGACAGTTTGTCTATCTTAGACATTGTGACAGATCAAAGCCCCGAGTTTTCCGGACTACAAAGCGGTCGTCCCATACTATGAGACCGATACTATCTAGCTAGTAGCTGCAGTCTAGAGGGCTTCGCTAATTAATGGCAATGCTTGAGGTGCGTATTTCTTTATCTGGTCCTTTACGTGGTGGAAGCGGTTTATGAAGTTGCTTATGATTAATTTTCAATGGGACGCGTCGTTGTACAATTTTTGGAGGGGAACGCGCCTTAGGAATTGTACGTACATGTATTGAAGTTAAGCTAGGTACCTAGGTACTAACGTAGGTAGTACCTGCAGCAGCCTAAACTTAATTGCTTAGGCCACCAGAAAGCAGGAGCGGGCAAATTCAGTCATAGATCTGCCCTCCTGGAGTAGTTCCACTTTATGTATAACAACATACTCTGGTAAACGTAATAGACGTAACAGACGTAACAGGAGGGGAAGTGCAGCTTCATTGGCATGTGTTTAATGGCATACTTAAACCCAATGTAAGGATGGGCTGCATTATGCAGTATATTCTGGTTTTCCCATCTAAACCTACGTACAGCATCAAAAATAAATTCCCCATGGCTGGCATTGTGCAGAAATAAGCAAGACGTCTACATAGGAGGTAGGTAGTAAGGTAATAAGGTAGTACATGTAAGTAGATATATGTATTAATGACCTAGCGATCGTCCAACCTATGGGTCTTTTTCTCAGATCGCCTTGGCTTTCTGACGTATTGTGAATGGGTATGTACGTAAGGAGCTACCGCCGTAGTACACTACCTATGTAGTAGTAGTAGCTTCCAGGTTAGTAACATTTGTATGCACATATAGTAATTGACCTTCCGTACAAGTACAAGTACAATCCTAGGTCACACGGCAATCCATTTTGTTAATCGAGAAAGTGAAATCCCATCCCGTTTTCTTCGATATGCCCCTGCCCCCTTTATCAATCCCTCATGCTGTTATTGCTGCTACCCCAGCTTAACATCTAGGTTAGAAGGTAGGTATGCCGGTATGCTTTAACATATGCTTGAAAGCTACCTGCCTACTACCTGCCTATGATCTCCCATCTTCTACCTAGCTCTTCCATATCTAATTCCACTACATATACCTATCCACCACATCGGGATACCCGGCTCATATTTGTGTGGATTCACTCATTCTTTTTTTCGTTTTATTTTCAAATCTTCTATCATCTTCGACCATCCTAAATCACAGTTCATCGAATTCTCGACGGACTGGTCTGCCCCTCCCATTTGTCCTTTGCTTGTTCGAGTGCGATCGACCAGATGCTCTCGCTGCAGAGACCCGAGTGCTCTCCATTCTCCAGTAATAAGACACACTACTGCTGCATCGCATTTAACTACAATTCAGATTCAAGCTGCCGCCGCCGTCGCCGCCACGACCCACTATCGCTATCATGGACCACGGACCACCACCAAACCCCAACGACTTATTTGAGTTTACTGCGCCGGTTACAATGAACCCGGTGAGTACTAACGGCAGTATGCTCTCATGTCTCAGCCGTGGCGAATGCCGCTAGTCTTAAACTTCGTGCTCTAGCCCTACTAATCATGAGCTTTATATATCAGATGACAGCTGCCGACCAGAACGAAATGATGGCGCTCTACGATAGCTCTATGTTCACAAACTTCGATGGCTTGCCAATGAGTATTGATGGCCTTAATGATATGACTGCTGTCCCGCCGCAATCATATCAGCCAGTTTCCCCTGCGGCAAACCCGCAGGCAGCGCTTATCCATAATGATGCTATGCAATTCACATCAAATACGGGTGATAGCGCTGTTCCGCCGGCGCCGAGTACGGGCATTGCTCCGAGTTTCCCTGCCCCCGCGCAGCCTGCCCTACAAGGAGGAAGTACTTTGACCGAATTCACCAAGAGGAGGAACTGGCCCGCAAAAGTTGTGGAGGAGCTCAAGGACTTTTTGCAGATACTGGATGCTCACGGTAGAATTAAATATGCGTCACCAAGCGTCACGTCCTTGACTGGTTATGAATCAGAGGAGTTAGTCGACCGGTTCGTCAAGGATCTAATTCATCCGGATGACCTTGGGACCTTCACCTCGGATATGAACGAATCTATAGCCACCGGGAACCCGCTGCGCATGTTCTATCGTCTTAAAAAGAAGGATGGCAGTTACGCCATATTTGAGTCTGTCGGTCATGCACACATAGCCGCAGCTAAATTCGCGCCAAATCCGGAAAATCAGTCACCCTTCTGCCAGTCGGTATTTATGATGTCACGGCCGTATCCCACCAAGAATGCCTCACTGTTAGACTCATTCCTGGAGCACAAGATCGAAAATGAGCGACTAAGACGCCGAATTGCGGAGCTTCGAAGGGAAGAGGAGGAAGAGGAGGCATCTCAGCAAAGCTGGTTCACGAGTCAAGAGGGCCGATCAGATATTGCTGCATCAGAGGATACGATGATGACATCCTCTCAGAGTCCTGCTTTGTTCACCCATACAAGTGTAGATTCACAAGCCATGCCGCCTCCAGAAAGACCAACGCCGCTCAATATAGCATTAACAAGGGAAAATCTCGAGGGGGTGACAGCAGGAAACCGGCCAGATTCGATTAGAGATAAGATGGCAAGATATGAGGGCGCGTCACATACCGACACTATCGAGATGCTGACTGGTTTGAGATATGTCGAAGGGGAACGAAGCCGTGGTATCACTACCGGTAATTCTAGTCCGACCCTAATCAAGGGCGACGTTGGCATTGCAATACCGATCGATAGAGACCCTAGAACAGGAGAGAAAAAGAAGAAGCTTAAAGTCGCAGAAGAATATGTTTGTACTGACTGTGGTGCGTATAACAAATCGTATGTAAGCTGCAGGGGTCATCGTTCTAACATGGTTCAGGAACACTTGATTCACCAGAATGGAGAAAAGGTCCTCAAGGACCTAAGACTCTTTGCAACGCTTGCGGCCTTCGATGGGCTAAAAAGGAGAAGAAGAAGAATGCTAGCAGTGGAGGTAATATGGGAAATTCCGGTCCTGGGCATCTTCCTATACATATCATGGAGCAGCAGTGAGCGTCTCTTGAGGTTTAATGGCTTTCGTCCCAAGTGAACCGGTAATATAACCCGAGGTGTACGGCGTATGGGTATTTCCTAAGGTATATGATAGTGCTTCATGCACAGCGGGCATTTCAAATTGGTCGGGCTATGGGCACGGAGTCGGAATAAAAGCATGGATCTCTGAGCTTTTACAACCGAGCTTATTACACGACAAGATCTTTTCTCCTTTTTCTGTTCTTTTCTTCGAGATAGCTGGGAACGAATATGGTTCGGGCTGTACGATTCACGGGAATATCTCATAGGCAACAAAATGGGTGGCTAGGGTCTACTTAGATGTATACGGTATATCATGAGACAAGGAAACAAGAATGCTAGTACGGGGTTTTATCTATTTTTAATTTGAGGCTGACATAGTGAAGTAGCGCAATAATGAGAGCTTCCAGCAATTTTGTCCCCTTTTAATCGTGGCAAAGCTTTCTATCTACAGCACTATCTAGGCCCTTGACCCCCTACCATTCAGATGCGATAGCTTTTATTCTCTGTAGGGAAGCTCCATTCCTTCGGGGATTTTAACACGGTGGTATATGTGACATATTCTCATGTACTGAGCGGTATGTTCGACTGCGCCGACCTCGCCATTATCTCTTGGACCGTCCACTCATTGAGTCGCGGTGCAAATTCCGTTGCGTAGTAGCTACAACGGCGGCAATAGGGGCTCGCGGCAAATGCTTGACAATATAGAATGCAACAGAAGGTCATGTTTATAAATGCTACAGAGGATACGCTCAGTTGGGTGGTGGGCTATTAAATCCTCTGCAGGAGCCGTTATACGCATTCATTTGCTGGTCTAGACCCTGCGCCTGGGAGGGTCCATATTACGGAGCGATATATGGTTACACGATCTCGATCGCATCTTCACTCAATAAGTCAATGATCGGCGCTCTTAGGAAGTCAACCCTATGTGGAATTTGGTTTAGATTTTTTGCAGAACCGCAGTTCAACTAGATACTACCAGTATAGGCTGCACTTTCTCTCGTGACATGATGATACGAAATATCCCTCAAATGTGCGGGCTAGCAATGCGACCGTCCCGTTGTAGGAAGCCTCGCGGGACGGGACCTTGCGGGACCTTTATGCGAGGAACTTGGATGCTAGACCGAGGATGCCTGATCCCGAGGACTGCGTTTTGCCGCCGCCTTGGCTCTTCAGGTACATCTTTAGGGCCATCTCGCCAGCTTTCATCACGGCGGACTCCTTGCTACTATCACTGGAGACCTTGCCCTGAGAAGCCTTCTGGTCGAAGAGCTACAGATGAGGGTTTAGCACGGTATCCACAGCATAAAAAGCAATATCTTAGGAGTACGTACCTTGCTAGCTTCAGCCATGGCCAGACCTACGAAAGCACTCTGGCTGCTACTCTCCTACGCATCCGTTAGTCTTCTATCTGGTAACACTAACACGGCGTTTTGCAAGCGGGGTTTTGGTCGTACATTGGCGCTCCCGCTCTGACCACTGGTAAACAGCTTAAGAGCTTGCATGGCAGCGGCGGAACCTAAGCTCTTATCGTCTGCCTCGTTATCATTATCATCGTCGCGCTCGAAAAAGCGCTTGTGCTGCTTCACAGCGTCATCCTCGTCTACATCTTCTTCCGCAAGGGCCTGCTTCTTCTGGGTGAGGGCACCTAGTAAGCCGGAGAAGAGGCTGGTGTCGCCGGAGCTCCCCGCATGTCGGCTCGCGTGCTCAGCCGCTCCGCGGAAGTCATCGTCGTCAGAGCGAGGAATGCCACCACCAGCGGGATATGCGCCACCGTGCGTTACTAGAGGCTCGTCGTTAGAAAAGTATTTGGTACGTATGAAGTTGATTCGCAGTTAAGCTCACCGTTGCCGCCGAAATCTGCAGTTACATTGGAGTGGTTAGCTGCTGATTTGACCCTGAGGATCATACGCATGCGGGGCAGGCATATCGCCAAGCTTACCTTGCTGTGTCTCCCCGCTCATGTTGAAAGTGTAAGCCTACCTAGGTACCTAAGGCAAGGTTAAAAGTGACAAACGTTAGGGGATGTTTAGGTGGTTAAAGATAAATTGTTAGATTCGGGATGATGAAGAATCCAGAAAAGTAAAAAGCACAAAGAGTATTATGTATTTTCTAAGTTAAAGGCGCATTAGCTAAAAGGGACAAAACGTTTATCTAGTCTCAGACCGAGACATCTGCGTCACAGCTATAACGACCTAAGCTCAGCACCATCCAATCCATTGGACGATGACGTGTGCGGGGCATTCGCACTACGTTTAGGATTGTCCTGGGCATTGCCTAGGGGCCAGCAGTAAGTAATAGTAAGTCATTTAACAGATATATGTATTTAAGCTGAATATTGAGTATTGAGTACCTAATAGTTATGCGTAATTAGGGGTGAAAGTATGCGGTACCCTAATAGACTAATACCTGATATGGAACTAAATCACTCTTAGTAAATGCATAGGTAATATGTATAAGATATCTACCTAGGTACATATATTCAATTATTAAGAAACAAGGGTATCTTCGTCTTGAAACTTCTAAGACATTTTCCCTTCACTTTTCAACCACCCACTCCAACATATCATGATCAATATAATCAATAAACTCAACTGATACGGCAAGATGCTCCATAGGCACTCCAATACGAGACTGCCCAGCAATTAGAGTCGCGTGTTTTCTCTATAACTACATGTGCTACTTGAATTGGAGATGGTAATAAATTGCGGCCATTATTCAGCCCCTGATTCTCGTCCTGTTTTCCTTAAGCGCATTGACTTGCATTGACTTGGAGCTTTCTCAGCTGCACGCAGTCAGTCAGCTTTCAGATCTCCCCCAGCCCAATCACGCATATATATCACACATACAGATCACACATACAGATGGTCGAAGGTGGCTTGACTATTGGTTTCAGTCTTGTTTTCCATTACCTGGTTACCCTCATAAGCCAAGAGTGCATACTATCATTTCTCATTTTCCCTATTTAGAGCATCCCGAGATATTTACCGCCTCGTATCAACTGTCATCGTGCAGCACGTGGACCATCGCGTCCATGAGGGCAATTCTAATAATATCGAGTGGTATTAGTATCTAGAGTGACTTCATGGAATACTAGAGTACCTTCTCTTGCTACTTCAATGGTACAGTACATCTAATATATAAAACTTTGCCGGAGAGCCAATTATATCTACCTAGGCATTCATTATTTATAAGTAATTAGAAAGGCTTGTCGCAAGACCTTTTCCTCCTATTATATTATTATTTTATTTAGATACTATATTATATTGCGAACTGTAGTCTATAGCCAATACCAGTTAATGGAAAGTTGAACATGCTCTACTGTTTACTATCATTGTTCATTAAGCAAGACAAGTAGAAGAATGAAACATATGACTTCACGTGAGAATTCTTACGATAAGGTCAATATTTCCTACCATAGAGCTGATGCTAGAACGACGTCAGTTCACTACGAGGGTAACAGCGAAGTCCAAAAATAGTTATCGGCTAGCATGTTGAATTGCCATTCTGAGAACTATCTAACCCCTTTTATTACTTGATCAAATTCTAATATACCTAATATATCATCCACCACGTTTCCTTGTTATCATTCCACGTAATTCTCCGAAACGTCGCGTATCCAAGAACCATGTGTTAGACTTTTTAGATTACGGAAATATCTACGACAAAGAGCTTGTAGCTATATTAGTGACCCCCCACGCGAAAACCGGATTGGTTCCCCACACTTTGCTCTCATCTTTACCAATCATGCAGGGAGATGTGCAATGTGTTGATGTGCTCGTTGTCGGAGCGGGCCCGGTGGGCCTCATCATGGCGTTCCAGCTTGCCAAGTTCGGCGGTGTCTCGGTCCGGATCGTCGAGAAACATGTCAAGTCTGATCAAGATGCGTACGGCCGTGCTATTACGCTCTTCCCTCGAACAACAGAGATGCTTGACCAGCTAGGCCTTGCTGATGAGCTGCTGTCAAGTTGTTTCGCCTGTCGCGATACGGTCACTTACAATGCTCAGGGTGAAGAGGTCGACGGTCGTGGGTGGAGTTTCATGAAACACATGAATGATACGGCGTTCGATTTCGCCCTTGTCTTGAGACAAAAGTTCCAAGAAGAGATATTTCGAAACGCATTGAAGCAGCACGATATGCATGTAACAGCGCCGATCGAGTTAATAACCGCTTCGGTTGATAGGAGTATCCCTGTTGGAGGCCATAAGGTAACGGCAGTTCTTCTTAACCGCCAAAATGGAGCCTACGAAATCGTGAAATGTAAATACCTGATTGGTTGTGATGGGGGACGCTCATCTGTCCGGCGTATCTTCAACATTGCCTTCGAAGGTTCCATTAGTGAAGATCAATGGGTGAGGATAGATGGCCAAGTCCAAACTGACTTGCCTAAGTCTCGCTCCTACTGCTCAATCGAATCCCCAACACATGGAAACGTGCTCTGGGTTGCCTTGGATCATGGAGCCACGAGAATCGGCTATGCATTTACTGAGGATCGGGCCAACGCATATCCCGAGTTTGACGAGGCCGCTGCTGTTAAGGAGGCTATCGCCGCAGTTAAACCCTTCCGCCTTGAATTTGAGCGTGTCGATTGGTGGACAATATACACAGTAGGACAGCGCATAGCCGAATCCTTCTTTACCAAAGGCTGTATATTTCTTGCTGGAGATGCCTGCCACACCCACTCATCAGCCGCGGCGCAAGGGATGAACACCGGTATCCACGATGCTGTGAATCTCGCTTGGAAACTAAGTCTTGTCCTCCGCGGATGTGCTAAGGCCGAGATCCTTGAGACATATCATGCGGAACGGTTTGTAAACATATCGAAACTCATCGAGTACGACAGAGATATCAGCCAGCTCATGTCAAATCACCTACCTGAGAAATGGCAAGGTGATCCAGATGCCGACGTCAACGTGATTCTGGCGCAGGTCTTAGAAGAGGCTGGAACTTTTACCAATGGACTTGGTATCTCCTATGAGATTCACAAAGACAACCCCTTGAATGTAGAGGGCTCATTTATCAGCGCGCACCAGCTAGTTAAGCCAGGAATAAGAGGCCCGGATATCACACTCCTGCGCCCGGGAACACTCGAGTACACAAGGCTAATCCGTGAGCTACCCAATACCGCCAGATTCAGCGTCTTGATTTTCACGAGCAATCAAGTACCTGCTATTCCGGATGTGGTGTACAACGATATAACACGTTCGCTGGCCCTAGAACGGCCCGTTCTTATGAGTGCGCATTTCAATATCAGAGATCATATATTGTAGAGCTAGGCTAATAAGGAAAATAGGCTACTTGAAATTCATCACGATTCTCCCCAAGCCTACGCCTTCGCCATATGAAATCCTCGGACACGAGCCTATCGGGCGTGTTTATTTCGTCAAAGAAGACGGAGCTGCGTACCATCGGTATGGAATTAACATCTCACAGGGCGCAATCGTAGTGCTAAGGCCAGACGGCTGGATTGGTACAATGATCGAGTTTGGGAACAGGGCTGCTTGGGAGCTTGAAAGCTATTTCGACAAGATTCTCTTCTATCGTTCGGCTTGAGCTCGGGATAGAGGTTGTATTCTTGGAGGCTTCGCTTTCGATGATGCTTTGATGTGTCGTCTGATATCATCGTATACCGTTAGACTTATGAAGAAGGAAGATACATTTAGATACGAACATAGCAACCTGATTGCTTAAATAAAGTAATTCTTTCTCGTGTGTAGGATTAAGTCCTAGAGTTTCGAAACTTGATGTCGTATCGGAGTGCTTACGAAGTTAAGAGGCTGGGGGGGCGTAACAGCAAGTCATATGATACAATAAAGTACTTACCAACATACCTAGCAACCTAGGTTACCTCTATACACGTCGAGATTCGTGGTAGTTTAAGAAATTTCAAGTTGTTTAATGGAGTGATGATACAATTTCGATTTCTAACAATTTATATCCCAAGACATACTCAAGTCAAGCTTTAGTAAGCCTTACCTAGGCCAACAGTCGACTCAGGAACTAGCATAAGCGGAGGTATAACCTAACCCGGAAACTAAAATACTGCTCATGTTTACTTCTCGTGACTAAGCAGGCTCGTGCCAAGGACCTAAGCGTCGAGGTAATATGTAGTTGAGGCTTCATAGCTGTGGCAGGGCAGCGGGGTGCAGCAGAGTGATATATTATAAGTGACAACCAAACTGCCGTCACAACCGTTAGCCTTCTAGAATCAGTCTAGAAACCGAGGGGAACTGTTGCTCGTCAACTGTTACCTCGAATCGTACCCCGAGGGGTTCTCGTAGGGTTCTTTACCGTTTCCCTTGGCCTAACCGTTAGCAGTTCGACATACCTGCATATGTGCTCACACATGCCCGTTTAAGAAGTAGGAGTTGACCGTAGCTTATGGGTTCTAGACTTTGACTATTTTGACAAAATACGAGACGGTCTAAACCCCATTGGCTGTAGGTATGTAAAACGGCATCAAGTTTCAAACTGACCCAGGGCCCCGCGCAAGCGGCAGGGTATGTTTCCAAGAAGCGCGTGGGTATTTCGTGACTGCCTCAAATCTATCTTAAACCAAACAACTTCAGTAGATGAAAAAGGTTGCATAATACTAGTTTTGCTTCTGGTCACGGCAAGGAGGTGAAAGTAGAAATACTACGAATCAGGAATGGATATATACAGACTTAGTATCACTGAGTTATAGTTGAAGAGGGATCGCGTAGGAAGGGAATAAAAAGATAACTGAGGTGAGCTTTGTAGTTGTTGCGACGGTTAGAGAGATTAGAGGCTTAACCTCTACCGTGGATGACGAAGTACGTTAGCTAGTCGTGCTCTGGCAGAACGGTCGAGAGAGTTTCTAACTCTCAACAACCCCTGCCGGGATTACGAACAGTTCTTAGATTTAGATTACCTGGAGCATATATTGGATGACAGTTTTAAACTAAACACTACTGACCCCTGCTCCGACTGTACTCACGATGCCGATTACCGAAGACCCCTAAGACCCCTATGAGGTACGTAAACATGGCCAACCTTCTTAGGTGGACCACCACGTGGCCTGGGGGGAGCCCTTTCACCCATATTCCCGGACGGCCACGCTTGCAGAATCTATGTACACACGCAGTAGGCAGTGTACATACATAGACATGATGCTAACCACACCGAGATCCTGTATGTCTCGACGCAAAGTAACCTGCGTAGGCACTCTCACCGAGAATATAATTAACGCGTCACGGAGACCCTTACGTAATGAAGCTGAAGCAGCCTGGCCGTGAGTGCACGGGTCGGCGTTACATGGCTACCTGCTGAAGGACTAGGGTGGCGTGATAGTGGTACGATGGAGTAAAAAGAATATGTAGGTTAGGTAAGTACCTATGTATGGAGAGAAGATGCATAGTGGATTTGTACTTGATTAGTAAATATCTTATATATAGTTCTATGTATGGTGATGTGGTCTATGTTAATGCGATATATCATATTTTATCCTGCATCCTCGCCCTCCTTTTCTCGCAACTCCCTCCGCCATCGCATGCCCCTTTTCACGACCAAGTACAGACAAGGCGACAACAACAGGTAAAGCACCGCGATGATGGTGTAAGCCTTACCCGGCCCTACAGCCCTGATAAGCGGGTCGATAGCCGCCGCCATGGCTGCACCTAAGAGGAACTTGATGATGTTATTTGCTGCACTCGCAGCTCCCGTCTTCCCCGGCCGGATGTCTGCGATGAGCGCGCTGAAGACGCTGGTGACGCTGACAAGGCCTAGCCCGAGGAGGAAGACTAGCACGCATACGACAGCTACCGAAACCTCATTTTCTATGGCCCACCCCCAAGCCGTGATGATGACCATGCTTAGGATGAGCGGCGGTATGGCGACCTCGATCCGTGCCCGTTCGATAGGGAAGTCTAATAAATCCATCTGACGGGACTGATCCACCTCTATCCCCAGCTTTCGCGCGTGGCGACGATAATTCCAGTTCATTCCCTTCCCGACGAACGCGACGGAGAAGATGGATCCGACGGCCATGGGTAGGTAGATCAGGCCAACTTTGAAGCCGTCGAAACCGTATATCTCAGAGATCAGGGTTGGAACGGCGGTTGCTACAGCATAGACACCCGCGAATACGAAACCGCCGTACAAGAAGAGCAAACTAAGCTCCTTCTCGCAGAGGAGAACAAGAGATGTTAGGAACCTGGACCAGGCAAAGTTCTTCTTGGGAGGGGGCTCGATCGTCTCAGTAATGGTTGGAGTATTGCTCTCGGTATCGGAAGCGTCCTTATTCCGCTGGAAGTTCCGGACCAGCTGCATTACCGTCTGATTACGTTTGCGCGGCAGGATGGAGCCATCGCCTACGACCGTACGGCACGTCTCCGGGAAGAAGAAAACCAGGACTAGGAGGTTGGCCAGGGCACAGATAGCCAAGAACCAGAAGATAGTCCGCCACCCCAGGTACTGCGCGATGGCACCGCCGATGACGGGTCCTAGACTCGGCCCCAGCGTGACTGGCACGGCGATGAAGGCCGTGTACTGGCCACGCTCCGCGCTGGTCGCGATGTCCGCCACGACGCCCTGACATAGAGCCTGCGTGGCGGATATGGTAGCGGACTGAAAGCAACGGAGGCCCAGGAGACTTCCGTAGCTGTCGGATTTAGCAAGGCCTACATTGGCAATGATGTAGAGCACGAAGCACGCCAGGTAAGCCGGCCGACGGCCCGCGGAATCGGCGAACCCGCCGATAAAGATAGGCGTAACGCCCTGCAGAATCATGTAGCTGGTGACCGTGAGGTTGATTCGCGTGGTAGAGACATGCAGGTCAGCAGCTGCTATGTTCAGCGCTGGCAAATAAATCTGTGCCGTCCAAGAAGCGAATAGAGCGCTGAAGGCGGCGCTCAGGACGATCAACCGCTTCTGCCACGGCTTATATACCGTGAACCGGGGCGGGATCTCCTCGACCGGCAGAGTGTCCGCCGACTCCTTAGGCACAGCATCATCGTCGGCAACGGCAATGATAGTGTCGCCGCTTGTTTCACTGGGCCTCTTAGGGTCCTCTAGTAGATTACGAGGCACCGCCGCCGAAACATCCTTCTCGATAACCACTGTTGTTGTTTCCTTCTTCTCTTCCATGATTGGTTGTTCTCCGGTGTATAGAGGTCCAGACCGAAACTTACGTTGGAAGCTGCGCGGTGGTCAAAGCTGGAGAGGGCTCGCCAGCAGAGCGCAGCCAAGGGCGTTCCGGGGCGCTGTTTAACTTCTTTTAAGAGTATAGAATACTCTTCCGGTACGTCACCTTGTGCCATGGAACATGGAATGGCGATATTAGCTTGTATGGGCGAACAACGGTGCTCGGTAGTTCGCGGTAGAGCCATATTCTCGCCCCCCATAGCACTCCCTGTCGGCCCTTCAGGCGGATGACAGTCAAGCCTACATTGTGGCTCGTGGAGAGGGCTTTTCGTCTGTCCATCTCGCCTCTGGAGGTCTTGGCGCCTCTTATGAACCTTGAAGGACTCAAGGGCCAACAGCTCATAGTCCCACGGCTAGAACATATTCTGACAAGAATAGACTCATCTAGGCCCTAGTTCCCGCCAATAGCAGGGGTAGAAGGTGCCAACTATGTAGACACAGCAATGTGTCTCGTCAACGGGAGATTCGGGATCTGTGTACATAGTGGTAGCGATCCTAGATTCGTGAGGCGTGTCGACCCACCAGCTCTACATACCTAGGTAGTATGTACGTGTCATGCTACAAATACGTACCAACTAGCCCAGCCCTACATCCGCTATGCTCTTCAGAAGATACATGGCCTGCTGGCTGACCTTATCTCTAGTACATGCTGCTGGTACCTATAGCGTTTGCTTATAAGCACCCATGAGTCTCTCTGCAAAATATCGCCCCAAACTCAACCTATGCTGTGCTCTACCACTAAGGGACTTACTCTTGTGGGCTCTGAGACAATCACCGGCGTTCTAGCTCTCGCCGATCACGCTTCCACCCTAGTCTAACACAGAGAGTGGCGTAACTCGGGCAGTTCTCGACTAGGTTAAGCATGTAAGCAATCCTCTACGATCACGCACAGGCGGGAAGGAAGGTAGGATTGGATTGGATTCTGGCAGACCATCCCATCTGAGACGCAACCGATATGTGATGAGAGAAGCATTGCACCGCAGAACAAGAATGGAATTCAGATCGCGGGCGACCGAGACCGTGGGTAGCGGAGCCCTGGATTGAAGGAATACGGGAATGGGGGGCTGGAAGAGGAAAATAGGGTACGGTATGTACACTTTGGGATAGGAGTCAGAGAAGCTGCAGAAAGATTATGCACAGACATAGGTATGTATGTCAGATTACGTGGAATATATGGTGCTGGGCGCCCATACCTGGTAGTGGTAGTAGTAGTTGGGTTGGGGCGCGTGTGGGAATATGCGGCTTCGTCAAAGTCCGGTACCTAATGAATGCATAGTATGGATGGATGTACTTACATACAGCCAGCCAGCACAACGTGTATAATTTCGGCCGGGATTAACGGCACCGAGAAATACGATGTTAATTCGGAGTTGGTTATATATATAGGTATATATCGAATCGGAATCTCGCCCGCATGCGGATCTATCCTGGCAACGGCCCTACATAGTCCCAGGGGCTTAATCCAGCCAGAGAGCTACGTACGTGATAGCCACACTCCCCTCCCCCAAGGTATAAAGCCGTAGAATACTAGGTTACCTACATATATACAAGATAGTATATGCGGACCGAAGCAATAAAGCACACCTAGGTGTAGACACTAGGTACTCCGGCTGAATGGGACGATGTCACATTCATACCGATCCTGCAATCCCGCAACTGCAGCACGATAAGGGGCGTAAATTAGGATAAATAAACGATTGTTGCATCGGCAATAGCCCGCTTCCAATGATAATCTACGGCGTAGATTACCGATGCCTTTTGGTTGGGCGCCTTGTGAGACCTCAGTATGGGCTGCGACACTACCTAAACTCAGGTACTAGGTAAACAAACCATCGAACCAATTTATTGGGCTCGTCGGCGCTATATATACTAGACATGCGCGCCAATTGAGACTCTTGCGGCGAAGCGAGGAGCTGACGAGGAACGGCTGGGGGCTACGTACACACACATATATATATATATGGCGGGTGATGGCTAGTAAGGCCGGATCACCGGATCGGGAGGTCATGGAGAACGGGAATGCGGAAAGAAGAGAAGGATGGGACTTTTGCCCTCAGGTCTGTCATGATCAGCGCAGCCTCGCGCCGATCTTACGGCGTTCAGCTTGGGATCTTAGCTTGTGGCGGCACGACTATCGAGATCATAGTATAGAGGTGGGTAGAGCCTAATTGAGATGATGGCATTTATTTGTCGGTAATAATCTCTACATAATAGTTGGATGCTTTAGTACCTAGGTAGGTAAGTAGACGACATTTACAGTTGGAAAAACAAGCCGTTGAATACGGCTTGGAGAAATCTAAACGTATAATAATGCGCCTGCACGTATCAAAAAGCATAGGAGGTAGGTAGGTAGGTAGGTAGTCAATAACAACACTATAATAAACTTCATATAGACCCAAGAACCCAGTATTATTACTATTTAAGTACCTAGTTTACTATACTATAGCTTTGCTTTTTCGAGCTATGCGCTGTAGTGTAAACATCCACCATCGTCTCGTAACGACGAAGATCGCCTCACGATGGAGTCATGTATGTACATATTTTTTTTTGGTGCCGCCTTTCTCCTACCTAGTTGGCCAGTGGTGCTACGTATTTCTGCTGTGGCCGCCACAATTTTACCGGTTGTGCTGTACGACAACCTGTCAGTATAGAACCTCCAAACGTGGGGTGCGTCGAGGGGGGGGGGGGGGGGGTAACTTACTCAGGCTTTCGCGCCAGTGAGCCAGCGCACCGGGAGTCCTCGAGAGGATGGTGATAGCGATGATCATGTCAGTGTCAAAACCCCTAGACAGGCGGGTAGCACAAAGTCAGCATAGGATACGTTGTATCAGGTTAGATAGATAGATGAATGATGATGGAAGACAAGACCCGGCTGTTACACGCTGAGAGATGCCATGCTACCGTGGAGTCGCACTTACATGGCAGTGTAGAGGAAGCAGCCCATCAGGTCGGCATTTGCCTTGAGGCCTCTCTCGATGAAGTAGGCGTCCTGGTTGGCGTACTTGTCGATGGCCATGGCCACGCGCAGGAGGGGGTTAGCATCGACGGCTTCCTGGTGCTCCTCCAGCAGCTCCTCGATGAGCGCGACGCGGGGGTCCCGCGTCTTGTACACACGGTGTCCGTAGCCGAACAGCCGCCCGCCCTTGGCCTTGATGCGCTCGATGAACGGTGGGACGCGCTCTGCCGTGCCGATCTGCCTAAACGCCTCGTACGCAAGGTCGATCGCGCCGCCGTGCAGCGGTCCGTATCCGCAGATAATACCGGCCGTCACCGCGGCTACCGGGTCGATGAGCGTCGATCCGGCGTGTAGCACGGCAGCGGTCGAGTTGGTCATCTCGTGATCCGCGTACAAGATCCATAGCTTGGTCAAGCACCTCTCCACCTGGGGATCTGTGATACCCATCATCAGGAGCAGGTTCTGGAGTAACGACCGGGTTGGCTCGGGGGCGTTCCATTGCTTGTCGTTCTTGTGGCAGTAGACGAGCGAGATTGTGGCAGCAAGATACGCAATGGTTCGCGCGAGGGCCTCATCGGCCACGTCGAGGTGTCCGTGAAACATGGCGGTCTGCTGGTGACGCGTCTTGCAGATAATTTTATCGCTGGCGGCAAAAGCGCTCATCCCGGCGATGATCATGGGGAACGTCTCCGCGTCGCGGCTGGAATTGGAGTTAGTGATACTATGCTATCTATGCTGCGTTTCTTTCCTTATCAGTAAAATAGGGGGGGAGGGTAACCGTACGGGAATGATGAGATAACATCCTTGACACTTTGAGACGGGTTCATAGCATCACTCATGACCTCTCGGACGTGGTCCTTTTGTTGCTGAGTGGGAATGCTGCCCCAGATGATGAGGTGCATGATGTCTTCGTAAACATATTGGTGGAATAAACTCTCGATGGGAAAGTCCCGGTATCGAATAGTACCGCGCACGCCATCACTGTTCATAAAAACTCTAAGTAAGTGGGAGGAACCACGAGTAATAGAAAATATAGTATTGTAGAGACACACATGTGAGTGATGCTCGACTCCATGCAAGCTGTATATTGAAAGCCATTGTCGATGATGTGGAGTGGACGAGCCTTCAAAGAGGTAGCTAGATCTTCTTTACTATCCGGAGCACCAATTCGGGCAACGTCAGCAGCACGAATATAATCCCCTTGTATTGGGATCGTATAGGCCTTCCCCGTGCGGGAGTCTGTGACATCAAGGTGGTGCTCCGTTATTCCCGGCATTTTTGGGTCGATGTGTTGAATTAGGTAGTTTGTAACAAGGTAAAAGAATGAGAACAAGAGCGAGTATTTCAAACACACGATAGAGCTTAAGAGTAGAAACTATTCGAGTTGATTATTTCGCAAACTATTTGAGATGGTGGCTTTCCGTGGTGTCTGTCTCCTTTCTCGTGGGGAACACGGGTGTTCGATATTTGGTAGGGCTAGACTTTGGGGATCCCTGAATCCCGCAATCCATTAATCCCCTGTTCCCCTAAATCCCCAGATCCTGAAATCCACGAATCCTGATACTCATCGTCGGCGGCTTGCTATTCGTGCCGCGGGATCTTATGCGATAGAGATGTTGAGTAGGTATTCTAGATGTTTAGATAGGAGCTTCAAAATAGCTATATAATTCATTCTGACTCTGACTTCGCTGTTGGCTCTCATTTCCTGGCATCGTTCTCGTTCTCAATCTCCTCTTTGACTATCAAGACCTCTTTCTCGCTCTAGACTTCTCACTCGTATCTAAAATGGCTGCTGCTGCCGTTGCATCTACCACTGGCTCTATGGGCATGTGGAATGGCACTAAAGATGGCAAGCAAGAAGGATACATGGACTGGGCCACCGGCTCAACCAACGTGCAAGACCCTCTACAGGTCAAGATCGAGGTGGAGGACATGCGAACACTGAACCCCCAGCCGAATTACGAGAATAACGGGTACGGGATTGTGAAGCACAAATCTTCCTTGACCCCCGAACAGTTCTTAGCTGGCAACGACCCTGAAGGTACGTTTTTACTCACGAAAACTGGCTATTAAACACATTTGGGCTGCTCTTGTTAACAAAATCCTACCGTTCTAGGCAAGAAATACATCGAGGATGTCTACTACAAGGAGGTCGCGGAGCTGGTCAAGCAGATCACCGGCTCTGACATCGTGGTCCCCTATATATTCCGCATCCGCCAGAACAGCCATAAGCTCGCCGAGTTTTCCCCTACGCAGCTCTCGCACGCCGCTCTTCCCGTCGCTCACGTCGACCGAGACCCGGTGACAGGGGAAGACGGCGTGCGAGAGGTCCTCGGCGAGCAGGCGGACGAGCTGCTCAAGCAGGGCAAGCGATTCGCCCAAGTCAACGTCTGGCGTACAATCGACTACCCCATCCAGAAGTGGCCTCTCTGCTTCATCAACCACAGTGGCGTCGAGGGCTGGAGCTACGACACGCACCTGGCGCGCGTGTACCCCACCAACGACCCCAGGATAGTCATCCGTGGCACCAAGAAGCACGACAGCGTCGTGAAATACGACCCAGGGTAAGTACAAAATCCCACCCTCTAATCCGAAGCCTGTATGTGGCGAAACGGGGCTAATAAACGTCATGAACAGTTACAAGTACCACTACGTAAGTAGGCTCGACCTAGACGAGGCTCTCGTCTTCTCCTCCTTCGACTCGGACGTGACCAAGGTCTGCCCGCACGGCGCCTTCTGGGACGATGCTAGCCCGCCGGATGCGCCGACGCGCCGATCCATGGAGGTTCGCTGCTGGGTCTTCTTCGACTAAGCTTGGCCAAGTTAACTGTCGCTTGATCGACAAGACGGGAGTTACCCGGGGCGAGCGAAGACACGGGGTGGTTTATTGATTCTTGCAGGAGAAGACCGTCCATCATTTCTACATCAGGCGTGCCCGTGTCTCTCGGCCATTTCAAAAAAGAAAAGGCAATTAGTAGTAAAATACCAGGTAGTTAATACAAATCCCAATACGCTGTTAATATACCAAAGATAAAGTGCCAGCTAGACTTGGAGTAGCCGCGAGGAAGAAGAATTACTGTTGCTTGAGAGGGGACGCTGGCGCTTCTTTAGGCAGAAGTGTTAATGGGGGCTCGGGGATAAATCAGCGAGCGAGGTGAAGAAATCTTGGGTCAAAAAACCTGATTTCTGATGGGGTTGGTGGCGATCGTATGGGGGAGTACCAGCGGAAGCATATATTAAACGGCACGGCGAAACGGGGCCGTAGTGTCGATCCTGTCCCGGTATCGTCTTCGCCTTGCGTCCAAGTGATCGACGCTCTCGACGTGGACCCAACTACGGACGAGGGAGCGGATGATGCGGAGCAACACGGCCTGGTATAAGCTGCCCACCACTAGAGTATTGCCTTTCCCGCCGGCACTTGATGATACGAGGGATCATGGCGAGTAATTTGACCGAGAGCACCCGTAATTTCGCTTTTCCCTCCCTTATTTCCAATTTTGCAATTTCAGCTCTCAGCTTTCCCCTTCAACCTTCTTCATCCGTAGATAGGTACCCAGCGCCCATGCCGTGTCCTGCGCGATCCACTGGGGCTAAGTACACACCCACCTCACCACGCATACGCACACTGCTACTGTTCCAGGGTGCAGATGTCTATAGTCTTGGCAAAGTCACCAGGTCATACCAAGCCGCAGTGACGGGTCCCATATTCGTTTCGGTCGTGAGGGTCCCCTAGCCAAGTCCGCGAGCCGCGACCCGCGACCCGTGACCCGTGGGATTTCTTGGAGGAGGGATGGGGGCCAGCAAAAAAAAAAAAAAAAAAAAAAAAAAAAAAAAAACGCAAGTCATGCTGACCTGACCTGACCGATGAGTTAGTTTCTCGTATGTTTTCCTCTTCCTCCTCCTCTCCCGAAAAGCCCGGCCGATACGGCGATGGAAGGTTGAGCACTGGGATGGTAAGCTGTTTTTCGCCTCGTAAATTGGTCACCTGAAAAACGCCGAAATAAGCTCGACCTCGATGAATCGTGAGTGATGATGATGATGGTATACCACCTTACATAAGTAGTAGGTTCGGGCCGCCCCGGCTCTCCAAGTTATGTGACGAGGTGACGGGGCACCTATTAGGGGGGGACTGAGTCGGGGAGGACTGGGTTAACGGCGACCTAACCTGTACTTTTGTGATTTTGTGAAATTCTCCGAGAGTGTGGTTTACCACCCTTCGGTAGCTTCGCAGATGTTTCGGCAGTTGTGTTTCATCATACATACATAGGTACCCAGCAGACCCAGTCCATGTGGGTGGTCTTGAGGGGTGTTATTGCAGGGAGCTAGGCGCGTGATTCCGATTGCTGTTCTCATACTGCGGACTAATTGTTCAGTTCCATGCAGGTGGTAAGTAGTAAGCACAGCGCCAACGAGATTTTATTTTCTTTGGTTCGTTATTTTATCCTTTTTTTCCCTTTCTCTCTTGCCCTCAAGAGGCTATCGCATTGGAGGATTGTCAGCTGAATACGGAAATATTTGCCGATTTCTCTTGGCATCAAGGTATTGATTGGTTCTATATGGTTTTTTCCTTTGCGATACATACATTAGGTAGGTACCTAACATACACATCGAGGTTGCAAAGTCTCGGAAAGTCTCGCAGTCTCAGCTCAAAAATAAAGACTCTTTAAATTGTTAATTATCTGTTAATGCACAAACTACCTACCTAAGGTACCTCCTAATGTAGGTAGCGAACTAAAGCTGGGCTCACGACTTACACGAGTCGTTTATAAGTTAGTTTAATGTTATTAGAGAGTTTTATTTATAAGTAGGCACTTAGCCTTCTCCGTTATAGTTCATGAACCCGAAGGCTTAACTAGGTATTCGGAATCTGGGGTTTCTAATGGGTAGCAAGATACCACCGAATAGATTACTTTAGGTAGTATATGCACACGTCATTACTCGTATATGATCTCTGTTGGGATACGCATCCATGACGTTTTTAAATTAACTTTGTGATGTATCTTTTTCTTACACGCTTTCTAGAAATACCTCTAATACCTTCGAATCAAAACTATTAAACACACTGTCAATTTCCTAACGGGATAAATGGGTTCTATAGCTTGGCTGAGCTCCGGTGGGTACTCCGGAAGGTGGTGGTGAGTAGTGAGTGGCGAGTAGGGACTAGGATTAGGATTGTTTTAATACCTCTAATTCCTAACAATAGGAGCATAGCATTCATAGCATCAGCATAGCTAGAACCGCGGGCACTTCTTTACCTATCGGGCATGAGGAAAACTCGATTATGTGATCGAGACGCGTGCTTGTGCCTTATTTGTAAGCGCGCTTTTATACTCACGGTATAGGGTGCGTTGAGAATCACGACCAAAGTTTTCATTGGTTCAGTTAAGATATAGGCAATAGGGGTAGTGGCAACATTACTTGTGTACTATGTATAACTCAGCCTTCCTACATAAAACTTGCTTTATTACCCCCTTTTTTAATAAACCACCTATACTTAACCTAGGTATTCCTAAGTGAATTCCTTCAAGGGTTCAAGGGTTTCAACGTAGCATTATACCCCCACCTAAGAAAACAACTTAAAGGCTCTGAAGGAATTGGGCACCGATCTTTACCACATTTCACAATTGTGTGGTTACAGTGATCGATGGAATTATTCTTATTATCTTGATGTGATCGTGATCTGCGCCTACTACTGTAACCGACAATGTACGTAGCGCCGCTTTTTCATAGTCTCATATTCTCATATGCTCATATTCTCATATGCGTATGTATCTGTCCCGAATTCCACGACGGATCTTCAATGACAGGGGGTATAACCAGTTTGCCTCCTAACTTCGCCTGAGCCTATTCGTACCTAGGCGTTCCCATCTAACTACCAATACAACCAACCAATACAGTACCTACGAGTTGTCTCGCCTTACGCGCCCTGCGGTAGGCATCAGTTCGGAGGTGGGAATCCGGCCGCTTCTGAGTCGCCCATGGCGCCCGCGCCCCAGTCCACCGCCTGCCAATGAATATCTTGGGTGGCTGCCGCTGCTGCTGCTGCTAAGCGGGGATTACCCAAGACTGCAAGCCGGCTGGGACGAGGTCGACCATTGGAATATCGACGGATCCTGTTGCAGCTCTGCTTGGCCAGGTGTGTATCTCTGGCAGAGTTCCGCGTGAAAATCGCCCCGCATAGGGGACAGACACCCTTGGTGCTGGCTCCTGATCTTTCCTTTACGTGCCTCACGAAGTTGCTCTTGGATGAAAACTCGCGTCCGTTGCATCCGTGGTCCCAACACCGGTGTTTTCCATTCCGGTCCATTGACCGGTCGTCCGTACTCTGATTGCTTAAGAAATCTGACATCCCGCTGCTCAGCTTATCCAGAGCATTTGGATAAGGGTCTACCGACGCCATGTTTCCTGATATATGTTGTATAGACGTTACTGGTGCTTCGTCTCCATTGATACGATTCCGCGAAGAATCAGTGTCATCGATCCAGTAGAGACTATTATATACAAATTAGATAGATATTCTTAAGCGTAGGTAGTCTATGGCGTCAGCTTACCTTTTGTGGGACAACTCGTCGAAGATAGCTGACCCATCCATGATGGGATCCACGAAGCCAGCGAAATCCGCCGACGTCGTGGCTGTCGAGCCATAGTAGTCTACATGCTCGTTGTGGTTGTAAGATGTCCTACTCTTCAAGTTATGTGTATGCTTCTGTCTCGCCATTGTGGTATTGGTAGAGAGTAGTTATAACTACCAGTGGACATGAGGTAGCTGCAAAGAATGTTGAAAAGGGTCTGTTACGCTACTGTAGCTAGTTTCTAATAATTGGATCTCGGTAGCGAAAGAGGCTTACTTGAGATACTTCGTAGTTCGTGGGCGTCTTACCCGCCTGGCCGGATATTAAATACTTCTGAGATATTAAATACCCTGAACCGTCTGTCCGGCTGGAGTCCACTGCTAGCCGAAGGCAATGTATCTTATCACGGGAATCTGGCAATATGTCTGGCTCATTGGATTCTAATACCAATAATACAAACCCCCAATCAATAAAGCGCAGACTACCTACCGAGTTGACAAATCAGGAACAGCTCAGAATCGAACGTCTTTCTGGTCTGACAAAGGTTTCAGTGAACCTTTGCGGCCCCTGGGGAAGAGTATTGCAGAGCCGAGCCACGAGGTCTTTGCAGCAATTCGAGAACTCGGGAGTCGGTCTAGAACATATGTAGTACCTAGGACGTCGGTGTCGGTCCTTTTTTTGCATAGCTCATAGCAGTCCCATGATTACCAGTGCTTGTAAGTATGTGATAAGAGGGCATCATCGACGAGTGGTGGGTCTCCAACGACCCCAGACCAGCCTCACTGCAGTGTCAGACTCTGCTCCCACATCAAATCTAGGCCCGCGTAGATCCACAAAGGATGGGCATCTCTCACCCATTATTCTTTGTCCATGATCCTATCCAGATGTCTCAAGGTTCCCGGTCTAGCTGCGGTACAACGCTCTTTGTTGATACCGTATAGTAACGTGACTTTGATGCAGGCTCGTCGGTTAAAGTCAACCTTGTCACAGTTATAGACTGGGCTGGCCAACTAAGCTGTGCGGAACCGTTGAAACGATGACGGACTAGTCCGTAAATCTCTGATTACCTACCTACATAGGCGTTTTTTCTGGTATACGTTCTGCAAGGTCAAGATAGGCATAATCCTAAAATCAACCCATTTTTTCCGTATCAAGTAGTGTAACCCGGTGGCGCTCCATGATGACTATACGGTGCCAACGTACGGGTAGCTGCTAGTTGGGATAAACAGACGCCATAAGATTTTAGAAAAGAGAAATGTAGAATCGAACTAGAAATACTAGAACCCAAGGATTAATCAGCCTATAACATCCAGGATAGAAATAAATCTACCTATCCAGGCAAGCCTTAGTTATTTTTAGAAAACCTTGTAATATAATGGCCTTAGAATCCTCGGCATATTGTCTTATTAGCTGTCTGTTATGATTTAACCTAAGATTTTCTATCAGGGTTAACTATATTCAGGGTTGACTATACTCAGGGTTATACATAAAGCTATACATGAAGGCACTGGAACGCCCTTGGCAAGATCAATTTGACATATCGTGGGGAACACGTTGTTTATTTAAAATCCAGATCGAGTGTAATATAAACACAAGTCCCAAAAGGGTATACAGCGAGAGCTGAGAGACCGTATTCGTAGAGCCAGTGCCGTCACCCTGCAGCCAAGCAGAGCGCATATCACACATGTAGTCCTGACATCACGACAAAACCCCCTCGAACCCAACTATCGAGTCAAGTGACGCGGCACATCATGCATTCTGCAGAACCATGCGAAAAGGGGGGGTGTTCCATCGCAACGTCGCTTAGAAAGAAGTATGGGAGAGTAAGAAACTTCGGGATACAACTTCTAATTATATCGTTGACAGCGGACATGAATTTTCCTAATTGGATGCGTTCTAATGCGGCCCCCAATAAAACATATCTCTCAACGCCGGATTCCGAGATATACACCACCCTTTCGATGTTCGATATACCCATCACTATTAACATCACGACATCCTGTAATTACTCCCAGCCTTCTAGAACCTTGCCGATGCGAGGAGATTGGGTCATGCTATGTACATATTCAAAGTAGTCCCTTGTAAGTTCGAACGGCCTGGCCGTTAGGTTCGGTACGTACTTCCCAACGAGCTGTTCCGGGTCGATGCTCTTCTCCTCGAGGTTCTTGAGTAAGAACGAGCGGAACGATTTCACTCCGGGTCGTAGGTACGAGCTATGAAACGGGACATCGATCCCCCGGAGCGGCACCGTAGCTCGGCCTCGTGTTAGCTCAAGCGGCATAGGCTTGGCTCGCGAGTGCTGGTCTGCCTCTTCGATCACTTTGACCAGTAGATTGTAATTGTCCTCTGACTCGAGACGACGCACATCTACATTGCGTGCCTTGGTACTGTCCATAACATGGCCTAGCACGTCTAGACCACGTAGGTCTCCTGCACAGACATATTGCATGTTGCGGATGTTGTAGTTGACGATCTCCAGAAATGAGCCCGTGACATCGCCAATTGCTTTGACTACGCGCTTGAGCGCCTGCTCGCTGAACCGTGCGCTGGCCCGCGAAGGATCAACGGCACACATTGAGTAATTTGAGCGGCCAGCTTCGTCTCTTTCAACAGCAACTTGCATACACAAGCCGCGGTAGAACACCACTGACACGAGCGTCTCAACTGGCATCACCTTGGCGATGGATGCGAGGGCACTGTATTCGCCGAGAGAATGCCCGGCGAAGATACTGTCCTTCTGAATGGCGCCTTGAGCTCGTAGATCTTCAAAGACTGCCATTTGCATCAGTGTAAGTGCTGGTTGTGTGAACTGTGTCGCCGAGAGCAATCCTGTTGGCGAGCGGAAGGTATACGACGTAGTGTACTCCGTTATAGTCTTAAAAACCTTCTCCTGTTTAGGGCTGCCGTCTGCGGCCGGCTCGAGGCTTTGGTAGGTCATAGCCATGTAGTTTTGTCGGATGGCTTTGCCCCGAGCGCCACCGAAGTACACTGTGAGCTCTTTTGGATCGTTGCGGACGATGTGAAGAATAGAGAAACCTGCACGATTAAATTAGTATATTGTTCCGAGATATCGGAGGTAGGGAAGGGGTGAAACGGACCAAAGGTATCAAGGAAATGTTTGTCGGCACGGTCCCATACGTCTCTAGCCACCGCACTCTTCTCGTACAATTCCATTCCCATTCCCTTCTCTTGAGAACCCTGGCCTGTGAATATATACGCGGATGTGGGTTGCTCGATGATGGCTTCACCGGCCAATACCTTCTCTCTTGTCTCGTCGCTCTTGACTACCTCGATTTGGATAATCATGCGGCCAGACACCATACCAATGTGGTGCAGCTGAACCTCGAGCCGATCTCCAGGGAGCACCATCCCGACAAACTTGACATTATAGTCACGCATCCTGTGGGCATTGTTCTCCGTCGCCCAGGTCTCAACTAAGCTCCTGACCGCACCACTGGTATACATGCCGTGAGTTATTGTGCCTGGTAGATTGACGTATTTGGAGAAGACGCGTGAAACATGAACTGGGTTGAAATCTCCCGACACACGGGCATAGTTCTCGTTGGAGACGGGCGCTTCGATCTCCAACGGAGCTTTACTATAATTGTTCTGTATCGGGATCGGATGCTTGAAATAAACGGGTTGGTCTAGCTTAGACCCGTTCCGAGCAAGGTATTCCAAGACCGGGTTCCCGCGCGAAGGCCCATCAGAGACGTAATTCACCGTTCCCACGCGGACCAGCTCCTTGGTAGTCGGGATTTCGATCTCGACCGTACCGCTAGTTTCAACGGAGGCAAATACGACCTTGTCACTGAATCGGGTCGAAGTGTGTAGCTTGAATACGACGTTATGACCCAACAGAAGATCATCGACGCCTCCTTCTAACTTGAGCCACTTCTTGGCTTTCAGCACGGCAACTTCCTTGGGGCCCTTGAGTGCTACTCTGACTTGAGACTCAGCCTTACGCTGGAACGTCTTCTTGTAGTCAGCGAAGATGCCGCGGTAGAAGAACTGCGACGTAACCTCCATCACGGGGTTTCCGCCGTCTCGCGTGATTGTGCCGCAAACCTCAACCATTTGACCGGAGTCTTGGTTGATAATAGCAGTGATTTCAGAAGTTGCGCTTAGCGTGTCGCCCTTTTTGAACGGAGTCGCGCCGGGGACCATACGGAAACGGTTGGAGAGGTGGACAAGCTTCAGCAGGTCTCCGTCGACGGCATGGAATAGGGGCTCCATGAGAGCCTTCCAGCCGACAATGATAGCGAAGTCCATAGGCGCGAGATGATCTCTGCCGGGCCGTTCAATGTAGGCCTCAGCAGTATTACCTACTGCGCGTGCGAACTCACGTATCGCTGGGCTAGAGATAGTAGTTTCACCGCCATCCCAGGGCTTGACGTGAGACATCGCTGCATCTAAGCGGATGTCGGGTCTATCGGTACCAAACCAAAGCTTGTAGTAGAAGTCTTTGATACGCTTGTCTCTGGAAGCCATTTCCTCATGGATAGGCGCGTAGCCCGCTTCAGGATGATAAGTAAATGAAAGCGGGAGTACGACTGGGCGGCCTAGTGCGGTTCGGTGCTCGATGAGATATAAGGGAATGACGTTGCCAGACAAGGGACCTATTTTCATCGTCGGCAACTGTTTTCCGCTGACATTTTCCTCAACAGTAATGGCCGTCTTGTCTGAGTCATCTGGTTGTGCTATATGTATGACCATTCCGCGAGAAGGGGTAAGAAGACGGCGTAGTGGATTGGCTTCAAGGCGATACCCCTGAACGAAGACATCCGTAGTAAATAGAGCGCGACGCCACGTAGTCTGATCGCCTGCAAGTAATTGCATCCACTCGTCTTTGTCCGGAACGGTTGTTCCTGGAATAAATAGTCTTAACTCGTTCCTCGTCTCAGAAATAGCGACTCCTTCGAGGATAAGGCGAACATCGTGAACAGTGTCTACCATCTTGTCTCCCAAGTACTCAACAGTTGGTATCTTCTCCTCGTTTCCATTATAAAGGTCTTGCGTGAGGATTCTTATATGGCCTTCGTGAATGTGGTCGAGAATTTCTTTGATGGGTTCCTCGGCAGTAGTTGAGTGCTTGGCAGCAACAGGTCCGTGGAGGACGCAGACTCTGCCTACATCCTGGTCGACTACTGCGTCGAGGTCCTCGGACTGCCACAATGAGTCCTTTTTGAACCATACTTCAAAGTCTTCATCCAGACATGGGACGAAGGGTACCGGCTTTTGGTTAGGGCGCTTGCAAAGACCCAAGAAATGTAAGCAGTCCTGAGAGTTCATAAGCTGCGTAGCCGCCGAGGGGTATATTGCTAGCAGTCTGTCAATGATGGGTAGCGGGTCGTCAAGTTCCTTGTACGTCTTTATAAGTTGACTGTTGGCTACAGTCGCGTGTGTGCCAAGGCGCTGTTCGACGTAGCTGATAAAGTCCCCTGTTAACTTGGCAAGAGACTTATCAATCCACCTCTTCTGGTGTTTAATAAACATAAGATCGATCATCCTGGAAATAACCTCAACATAAGTCATCTCCCAGAGGTCAACCGCTTTGCCGGAAGCAGTGAGGCCAAACCAAGGCTTCTGGAAGTCGGCGTTAAGCCGTCGAATAATATACTCCCGAGTATCCTTCTTCTTTAATTCAAGGAGCCGCTTCTCTTTAGGTAGACTAAATATTTTCTGATCCATCTCGGCCCAGAAAATGACGCCGCGCGTGGCGAGCTTGTGAATAGGTTCTCCCATCTCGGATCGGACCGTGATGATCCCACCTCCACCGACAGGCTTCTGATATGTTTTCTCCCATTCCCGGTCATCGAGACCACACGCATCGACAATGGCTTGCTTTGCCCCTTTAGACGTATATGCCTCCTTGGC